AGAAGCTACGATGCGCCAAAATGCCTACAAGTTATGAAAATATTACTAAAACTAACTCAGTAGGCGTTTTAAAGTAATTAACTGGATGATCAACATGTATCATGTACGCAAATTCTGACCTAGAGGCAATCGAAACAAAAAATAAATGAGTGCTATCAGTGGACAGCCGTGTTCCGACGCAGAGCAGGGAACTGGGGTTCCAGGAAGCAAACAAACGCAGATGTTTACAATCGACAGTACAGGGACTACCCCAATCGTTTATTACAATGATTTACCTTGGTCCTCGCAAGTTCGAACTCAAGCGATCTGGTGTCTCCTCGTGACACGGGGATACTGTCGACAGACGCCTGCGTCACTTGGATCCACTGAATCAACGAGTCCAGCGCGGTGTCGAATTCACCCAGACTCATCAGTACCGTTTGCAGACGGTGTCTTCGGTGATTTATGGCCTCTATTAGGCCATCCCAACGCCGATTTGCTGAGGCAAGCATCTGCCGAGCACTCTCCGAATCTCCTTCGAATGGGCTCTTTCCAATTTCATCTTTAAAGTGTTTAAACAGACTCAAGGTGACTAAGAAGCTTACGTAAAATTTAATGACAGTCTGATTTAAGCAAATACAAAGATAAGCTTACCTTCGAGAATGCCAGCTGCAGTCAACAGTTGACCGGCTGCCCAGTTGAGGCCTTCAAGCTTTTCCTGACTTGGAAGGACAGACGTACTCCAGACTTCTGTTTCACTGATTTGTTGCATTACTTTCGTGGCTTCGGCTGCAACTGGTTCCAGCCGGTCATATTCCCCTTCCTTCTCAGACATCCAATTTAGGAAGTCTTTAAGATCACTCTGCAAGGCGGACAGTAAAAAGTAGTGCTGTCAGACTGACTTCGCAAAAAGCAAAATGCATAAGCCTCCGAAGAAGAAAGTAGCTGGCATAACGGGGAAGTAGGGGGTAAAGACAATGCCCGGTCAAATTACTACTAAGAAATCATTGTGCCCCTTCGAAAAAGGCCCGCATTTTGCTTTTGTCTAGAAATGTAGTTTATTTATGATTTTTTCAATTGAAACACGCTGTACATAGGTTTGTTTGTGAAGAATAGTATGCTACTGTGGCTTGCATGCTACTGTCGGGACACTTTCCCTGATAGCAAAAGTCGCCAGTTCGCCCGAGTTTGGCTCGCGTAAACCTGCGCACCTCTGACGCCC